GTCCTTTTTTATTTTATTTTTTAATTTGTTTTTCGTTTGATTTTCTTTTGGTTTTTGTTTTTCGTTAGATTTTCTTTTTTTTCGTTTGATTTTCTTTTCTTTTTTGTTTTTCGTTTGATTTTCTTTTCTTTTTTTTCGTTTGATTTTCTTTTCTATTTTCTTTTTCATCTTTTATTTTTTCTTCTTGTTCTTTTCCTTGTCCTCCCTATATTTTGGCTTCTATTTTGTTTTCTTCTCTTTTGTTTCTTGTTCTTTTCTTTCTTTTCTTTTTTCTCTTTTTTCTTATTTTTTACTTGTTTTTTTTTCTCTTCTCGTTCTTTCTCCTTTTTTTGCTTTTCTTTTCCTCTTTATCTTCTTTTTCTTTTTTTTTTCCTTTTTTTTCTGAGGTGTGTCATGTACAGTACAAGGGGTTCCATATCTCTGAAATCGAACATAACGAACCTAAACAATTTATTATTTCCTTTTGTTCTACCTCATCTAACAGGCGTTCATGATCAAAAACACAACGAGCCTAAACTAATTCTTTATCTCTCGTTAAATCATATACGAGAGGGTCTGTTTCTGAGTCCTGATAACGACTACGAGCCCAAACAATATTCAGTAGCCTTTTGAATCTATGTTGGATGGGTATTTTGGGCATGTGTAGATATTGAGCACTTTATATCACGAGTAAGTTTTTTTTTCAGAGACAGAATGAATGGGTGGTTGGTGTGGTGGTGGGTGGTTGAGTGGATGAGTGACACAGACAGACAGATAGACAGAGAAAAAGGAAACAAAGTAGGAATAAAAGAAATGTAATTATAAAAATAAAGTCCAAGTATACATACGCTATTGTGTGCATGATCACACATGCATGAGCGTATCCCACATGTGCCCCCAACCACCTACCTACCACCCCGCTTCCACTGACTTCAACCCTTCTCGCATTCCACAGCTGTACTTCGTCTCGGCCCCTGCAGTATGCTTATGCGTCCTGGGTTCCCTGTGGATGATGGTGGTGGCTTTCTGGGCCGAAGAACAGCTCATGGACTGGAAGAAACGTTACGGCTCCCTCGCAGGAATCTTCATGCACGTGCCTTCTGCGTTATACGCTGGCCTCGTCTGGCTCATGAATTTCTACTACAAGAAGCTGGCCACGGCGCTGACGGAATGGGGTGCGTATGAAGGACAAAAGAGTGTGTGTGGGGGGGGGGGGCTTGGGTGAATTTTAAGTGGAATGGATACTGACAAGAGTGTAAGGGTTTTTATGAATGTTAGAAATGTTCGGGTGAATGGTAAAAAAGTGTGGGGGTTTTGGTGAATTTTGAAAAGAAGGGGTTCTAGTGTGAGTGTAAATGTTTTTGTAAGTGTTAGAAATGATGAAGACTGATGAAGATACTAAAGTGCGTTAAATGTTAAAATGTTATTAATATTAGGACTGACTATTAGAAATGTTAGCACTGTAGGGTTCGTATGGAGAGTAAAACTGAGTGGAGTTTTGATGGATTTGGAAAGCAATGGCTGTTGGTGAAATTGTATGGGATGTTAAAAAAATAAATTCTAGTAATGTCTAACTGTTAGAAATGTTAACACTATGGATTTTGTGTGAAGATTGTTAACTGTGTAGGATTCTGATGAACTGTGGTAGGAATGGGCACTGGTGAAATTTTATGAGATGTTAAAATGTTAGTAATTCTAGGACTGATAGTGAGTAATGTTAGCACTGTAAGGTTCGTATGAAGAGAGTAAACTGTGTGGGATATTGAATCATTGTGGTAGAAATCATTTAGTAGCAGTGGCATGTGGTACAAATGACACGATAGTAGTTGTTCTGGTGAGTTAAAGATCTAAAATTCTGGTTAATTATTCATCTTTTGACAAAGCAGTCCACAATTGCTTCTTCGTTACAGCACAAATACCTGTTTGACCTAGGCTAACCTTTAAAAGATATATTATTATGCTACAGAGGCAACGGGGCCACACCTCGACACAAATTTTACACAGGGTCTATGGAAGAGAGGGAAGGAAAGGAGAGAGAATAGGATGAGAAGGGGGAAAGTGAGGGTGAGGGAGAAAAGATAGGAAGGGAAAGGAGAGAGAAAGGGATGAGAGGGGAAAAGTGCTTAACAAAAGACTAAAACCACCATGGAATTAACATAGCCACATGTAACATACTAATGGTTTTTTTCCCTTCTTTTTCACCAGAGAACCACCGCTCACAGAAGGACTATGACTGGCATCGGGTCTGTAAGCTAGTTATTTTCGACTTTGTGAACAATTTCTCTTCTCTCTTCTACATCGCCTTCTACATCCAAGATATGGATATGCTTTGCTCGGTATGTGAGTCATAAGGTCTATTTCCTCTATTTTTTAGAGCTAAATGGTGTATAGTGACATTATTATTATTATTATTATTATAGCGAATAGCGTGTCTCCGCTTTGAAAAGTGAGCAGAACTTACATATGTACAAGCGCTTACAGGCGCACGCTCACGCACACGCACACGTACACACACACACAC